CGAGATGTCACAGGAGGTAAAAGCACTTGCTGTTCAATCCTGGGGACCACACTATGGAAGGATAGAAACAACACCTGCAAGTCATCCTCTGCCTCCACACACGATCCATGTGTGCCTCCCCACACATAAATGTGGTTTAAAAAACACAACAAAAATAATGCCAAAGCTTCAAAGCAAGAAAGCAAAGCAAGCAGCAAGGCTGTATGTGTGAACATGCTCTGTGGGCACTAACTCAGAACCTACTCAAACTCGGGGTCTGAATCTAGTCCAACTTCTGAGCCACTCCCTTCAGGAGAGGAACTCCAAACTGTCAGAATCAGAAGTAATTCCCTGCTGGTCAGGTGTTGGAGCACAATTAAACCTAGCACTCTTGAGGCAGAGGCAGACAAATCTCTGAGTTCCCGGACAGTCAAGGATACAGGGAAAAAAAATTCCCTTTTACTTCCAGTGAGTGCCTGCCCTTCCTCTCTTCCACGACACTTCACTATTACCGAGAAGTCAACTATCCAACACGTCTCAATTTCCTGTGACACACAGATTCCTATTTAGAGTGTCAGCACTATCTCTAACCCAAAGAAAACCACATTCTTTCTCTGGGTGCTCCTTCTAATAGATTCTAGTACATTCTGTGATTTAGCAATTTTTAATGTTACATATACTCCAAAAACTATTTTAATAACTACTCTTTAGACCAGGAGACATTTGATAAAACTAGCATTTACAAGGGAGGGAGGGAGGGAGGAAGGGGGAGAGAGAGAAAGAGCAAGAGCGCACCACTAACATGCTGCTTTAGGAAGATTTGTATAAAGGCTAACTAAAGTGAGACCTACCTCAGACAAAAAAGGGAAGTATTTCATCACATGAAGACAACACTATTTAGATATAACAAAGATCATCAGCTGACCACTAAATCACTAATAAAGAGCTCTAACCAATGCCAAACTTCCTTTTAAAGCTACCTTTTTAAAAATTCATTTTTATTTTATGTACATTGGTATTTTGCCTGCAGGTATGTCTGTATAAGAGCATACTGTATCAGATCCCTTGGAACGGGAGTTAAAGACAGCTGTGAACTGCCATGTGTGGATGCTGGGAATTGAACCTGGGTCCTCTGGAAGAGCAGCCAGTGCTTTTAACTGCTGAGCATCTCTCCAGCCCCTTTAAAGCTACCTTTTAAGAACCCAAAATAGCCAGGCGTTGGTGGCTCATGCCTTTAATCCCAGCACTCCGGAGGCAGAGGCAGGCGGATCTCCGTGAGTTTGAGGCCAGCCTGGTCTACAGAGTGAGTGCCAGGATAGGCTCCAAAGCTACACAGAGAAACCCTGTCTCGAAAAACCAAAAATAAAAAATATTAAAAGAACCCAAAATATTGCCAGGCAGTGAAGGCACATGCCTATGATCCCAGCTCTCAGGAGGCAAAGCCAGGTGGACTGAAGTTCAAGGCCAGCCTGGTCTACAGATCGAGTTCCAGGAGAGAGAACCTCATATTTTTAGTATTTTATTTTGTTTTGTTCTGATGTGGGGGAGGGGTGTTGAAGACTGGATCCATAACCTCTAGCATGCTAGGCTAGTGCTTTACACCCTGGTCCCAAAAATACATTTTCAAAACAATCCTACAAATATGTTAAACACATTTAAGACAAACTTTAATATCATTATTGCCTTAGTCAAAATTAATTTTGAGGGAGGGCAATGGGTAACCAATTTATAATGCAATGGGTAGCTATTTATAATACAAAATAATGCTGTTATCAGGAAATCTTATGAGGATTTCTAAGCCACTACAACACTAGTTCAAAATGCTTTGGATCTTTGAAAACAAAACAAAACAGTATTGCTCTTGACATCTACTCAGGAAACAGTAGTTTAATTGCAAGCTCTCAAGGACCCCAGAAAGTGCTGGGATCTATACGCACACGCAGTGCTCACTAATGCTTTTATTTCATTTCTATGTACACCTTTCTAAGTGCTATGAAAGAGCTGAAGAATTCACTGCTTATGATCAAGATGAAACACTGAAGTAGCTTTCTGCCTTGCTGCATAAACCTTTTTATAAAACCATTTCCCCCTTTCTCCTTGGTACAATTTCTGACACCACTCCCCCTCACCCCCCCCCACAAAAAAAAAGTATAAAAATATGACTTCGAGGGGTGGTGGTGGTGCAATCCTTTAATTCTAGCACTTGGGATGCAGAGGCAGATGGATCTCAGGGAGTTTGAGGTTCAGCCTGGTCTACAGAGCTAGCTAGTTTCAGGCGGGGGAGGGGGGGATGACACGGGACACATGATTTCCTCCTCTGTAGCTTTGGAGTCTGTCCTGGCACACCTCTATAGACTAGGCTAGCCTTCAACTCACAAGAGATCCGCCTGCCTGTCTCCAGAATGCTGGGATTAAAGGCATGTGCCACCACCTCCCGGCAACCTCCGACTTGCATACATGTTCACTTTCCCCACAGACACATTATTTAAAAACTCTCCAATAAGAGTATTACCTTACAAAAATCACAAAACTTTACTAGCAGCTTTTTAAATTTGTAAAGCTCCTGAATAGCCTCAATATACCTTGATCAATAAAATATTTAGAGCTCTTACATACAATTAAATAAAGGCCCCCCCCATGATCACTCTGCATCCAACTATTGTGACTAAATAACAGAGTGGTATGAAATGTCACTGAGTGCATGCACCTTGTGTCTCAGTCGCCATGTATAACATTAAGTTCCTTCCTGCAGATAAAATACAACAAGCTTATGTGAAAAGGAAGCCTTTCCTAGACTGCCCCAAACTGAGCAGCTGGCACTATGACCAAATATCACAATAGTAGGTATTAGTCATAACTTCAACTTATTTGAGTAAATAAGCATAACTTTGGAATAAAGTCCCTACTCTTTTTGAAAAATTATACTCTGAATCCATTATAACAACAAAACTACAATATTAGTGGTTTCTTACTCTAACCTTCAAATAGGAATAAAACCCACAGAGAAATGCCATAGGGTTTTGACAAAGGAGTGTAAGGTGGTTCAGGCTGCCCTCTGAGAAAAAACAAACACCTCATGAACTAGGGCATTAAAATCTCATGCTCAAACCCTGGAACATACTCTGTTCAATGCTAAGATCCCATAATCCAATGCTGAAAGGAAGAGCCAGAGGCATGAAGAAATAGGAAAGAATTCTGGTGAAGAGCCTTGTGATATCAGATACATTTCTTTGTGTCTAGGTCTACAATTTATAAAAATAATCTGACACAGCTTCCATACTGGACTCAGTAAATATATGTGAAGCCTCTTTAGAGCAAAAACTATCAAGCAACTAACCTCTGAAATTCTTCACAAGAACAACTGAAGAGCAAATAGTACTATGCTTCCCCAAACAAATATACTGGGATTCATACACATTCCCCAATGCTGTTTCCTTTAAAGCACACCACAGAAAACTGCACTTCTTCTAAAAACACAGGCATTTAGACATTTCTCTGGAATTGTCTTAGATTTGGCAACTCAATCCTCCAAATGTGCACCAAGGAATTCAGATATTCCTAACCACAATTTGTTTTGTTTAGTCCTTAAAATTAAAATGTCTGAAGTAAATTTAAAACACTTATGTTTGCCGGGCAATGGTGGCACACGGCTTTGATCCTAGCACTCGGGAGGCAGAGGCAGAGGCAGAGGCAGAGGCAGAGGCAGGTGGATCTCTGAGTTCGAGACCAGCCTGGTCTACAAGAACTAGTTCCAGGACAGCCTCCAAAGCCAGAGAAACCCTGTTTCGAAAAACAAAAAAACAAAATAACAAGCAAACAAACAAACAAAACCCCACTTATGTTTATGTACATAATGAAATTATATGGTTTCCAGCAAGTTTCTTGAAGGAAACATTTCTCTGCTTAACCTCCCCCCCCCCATCACCAATAAACTACAGACCTTCCATGTACAACTCATTTAGTGGGGCCAAGCTGCTGATCTTAACAGCACCTCTTATTTCTTACCCAGGGTCTTAACAGCAGAGACAAAACCACCTGTTTCTGCAGCAATTCTGCTCTTTTATCATTAGGCTAGGATGATAAAGAGCAAAAGCAGCAGTCGCTTTCCTGAAAGATGATTTAGAGAATGCTAAAATCGACACAACAACTAAATGGGAGCACAAGCTTTTCATTTCTGTCCCACATTTTTTGTTGTACAGAACCTCCACTGGGCCACTGTGAAAATCGGGTTCATGTGAAGTACTACTGCTCTCCAGTGTTCTCAGTTTTTCACTAGGAACACACATAGGTGATCTAAGATGAAGAACCGTCCAGATCCCCAGGTGGCATTCATGTACATTAAATGATCTGACAACACAAAGAACGGCTTAGGTCCTATGGACCACCTTCCTGAGTATCCATTGGGGGAGTTGCTTGGCATTCTAGGCTTTAAACTGATCTCTGAAAAGACTCATTTTTTGACAACTTACTTTCTGGAGTAATTCAGAGCACAGAATAACAAGTTCAACGATGCTGGGTGGCGGTGGCGCAAGCCTTTAATCCCAGCACTCAGGAGGCAGAGGCAGATGGATCTTTGAGTTCAAGGCCAGCCTGGTCTACAGATGGAGTTCCAGGACAGCCAGGGCTGTTACACAAAGAAACCCTGTCTCAAAAAACAAACAAACAAAAAACCCAACCCAAACAAACAAAACAAGTTCAATGATGAAGGTACCCTACACTACCAGATTCGCCTACACAAAATCTTTTCTTGTGAATACCTATTTATTCTGTATCATATACATCCCCTCTCACAAGTTGTCTGAGAAGTCCACATTTTACACTTTAAATGTTCCTGACCTATCAAACTCAAGAGTTCAGACTAGTCTGCACATTTCCTCAAAAGTTTAGAGGAAAATGGTAGGAGTGCTGCAGGGCCAGCCACCCTCCAGGAGATATACAAGAGCTTCAATTGCTCATCCTAGAATAGCTGTTCCTTTTGCCCTGTGGGAGAAAATGTTACATACCACTCATAGGACACTCACCTTCAGAATTTTTACAACCACCCTCTCATTGTTGGTGATGTTAATGGCCTCAAATACTTCACTATACTTGCCCCGACCAAGTTTTCGAACCAGTTGGTAATCATCTTGATTACTGTGAAAGGCAAGAGACACACATAAATGCCAGGATTTGAGATTAAGCAAGCCTATGTCCAGCCACTTCCATTAATCAAGCATTTGGAGGTGCCGAAACTTACACATCAACTCGTTCCCTAAAGGAAAGCCATACAGAAGCTTGGCTCCCTTCACTCTGCAGAGCTCCTAACCTAATTGACTCCTCCTAACCTGTGGAGAAAGGGCAGCCACCGGGCCTTGTGGCCTACGTTAAAGGCACCGAGCAAAGCATCCACCTTGGTGGTACTGGTGTGGCCCCCTGCCTGCGGCTCCACAGCACTCGCCTCCCATTTCCCCCCCGCCGGGGAGCCACTGAATCTGCACATCTTCAAAAATGTTCCTCCCACCCAGCCTCATTTCAGAAAAGTAAAAAGGTAGAGATTTTAACAGCTCAAGAGGACAGCCATGGACTTCCCATCCCATAGG